TCCATATACCCGAGAGATCGACTATAGGTGTGCCGCGAGAAGTTTCTGATTTTTGTAATTATGCTAGTAAAAATATTGAAAACGATAATTTATTTCATTACATTTATGTTGAGTGTGCCGCAAAAACATGTTTACATGTGATGTATAAATGTATAATGATGTGCCGTAAACCAAAAAAGCTTGAGAACCACTGCACTACTACAGTAAAGTATACACTTGCATAATGGAATAATTGCACTATCGACCGAAGACTATAGATAAAGTTAAAATAGGTAGTGTATTTTGAGTTGAACGGTCTTTCCAGTATCCATTGTTTTAAAAGGTGTTTAAAATGAATGGATTTTTTAATTTTATTAATTTTGAAAACTTAAAAACATGCAATCGCAAAAACAAAATAATATATTCAGAAYTTTGATAAAAAAATACATTGTTTTCATCAATATAAGTTAGGTTAACTATTAGTTATTACTATTACAATACATAATAGTATAATTCATACGGCTCTGCAGGACAGAGTAATATATATAGAGGGGCCGTTCCCTATAATGCTTGTATAACAAAATTTAAGTCAAAAGGAGTCCGAGTTTTGGCTTCAATTTATGATTACAACGGCCCCTCTATATTACTCTATGCTCAGCAGCGACCACATTTTAGTATTTTACTAAGAACTATAGAATTAAAAATGTTTTGTATTTACTAGTTTTCTACTATTTTGTTTATAGTAGGCAATGTGTATTATTTTTCTGTCTGTAATAATTCTCTTATTTTTGAGATTCAGCATCCTTTCTAATAATAGAACAGTGAATCTATAGTTGGTACTTTTAAGTTGCCTTAATTAAAAATTTAAAGTAGGTAATTTAAGAGACCGTTAAAAAGTTTAGACATTGTAATGTAAGGTTTCTTACAAGTTTTATTAATGAAAGTTCAAAAATGACTATTAAAGATATGTTTATTTTTATATGCATTTTAAGTTCAAATTTTATGTCACATGTGTGACACAGAATTTTAGTCGTATTCTTTGCCAAACGTACCGATCAGTATGGTGAAGCGATAAAAATTCTGAAAACAGATTTGAATTTGTCATCTAGTCTATTTTTTCAGTTCACATTTTTGATTATAACTTCTTCAAATATTGAAATATGACAATTTTTTAATTTCTATTTTATTATTGTATATAAATATATAATTTTTTAGGAATTTGGGAGATAATATCAAAAATGTGGAAAAGTCAATATTGATGACAAATTAAAATGTATAGTTACAGTTCTTATCATTTAACCTTCAATTAATCAATTGATACGTTTTGCAAAGAAAATGTCTAAAATCCTTTATCGAATCCTCTTAAGAGGATATACACTAGTACACTACACTCTCATATGTTTTCTCAAACTTAGTACTTACAAATGACAGACATCAATAAATTATAGATATTTATGGTTAAAAATTAATATGGTAGCAAACTAGCAATTAATATAAATTTATATCATACTTATATATTATCTTATTACTTTTATTAACCATATATCTAGTACAACAATATCTATATGTTTGTAATATAATTTTAAAAATTAAGCAAGTAAGTATAACATTTTCAATTATGAGTCAATGCATCATAAATTCATAATTCTTAACTGAAGGTACTCTTCCTTGCAGCAGACCACAACATTTAGAGACCCAGTGGACACTAGAGAAGCATAGCGGAAACTGGAGACGTTCAACCATGTCCTGAATCGACAGTTGATATAAACCTTAAGGTTCCATTATATGACTCATTTTATTAATTTCTAAGAACAAGATTTAAAGGATTTATGAATATAAATGTAATTGGCTACTTAAAAACACATTTTTTTATTGTTGATTTGTTTATTAATTGTCTGAAGTTTATTTTGTTTGAACATTGATTAGGTACCATAGTTATGCACTATAATTTTTAAAGTATCAACTTTAATTTCTATAATATAATTTTGTGATACTATGGGTCAAAACATAATCTTGTGAAAGTTGATTATACGTATAAGATTGCCCCAAGAGTGATATGCAACACATTTCCAATAAAGGTAAACAAAAGTCTAAAATATTTTAAAAATTGTACGATATATTGATAAATTAATAATTTAAATTAGGTATTTATTTGTTATAATATATTTTAATTTGACAATATTTGTTCAACTTAGAAAATCTATTGATTAATCTAGGATTCAAAATAAATTTTATTATACTCAATAATTACTTTCATAACAATAAATATAACATCATAATTCTAATAGTAATATAAAAATAATAAATAAAGGATTGTTAAATACTGTTTGTTATATGCAGTGATTATAAAGTTATTTTTAAAAATGAACTAGATAAACATGTTAAACTATAACTACTGTAAAACTAATTACCAAATATATAATGAGTTTTAAGTAAGTACCAATGCATAAAATAAATTGTAATGTATATTTATGAAAAATATACACGTCTTTGACTTAAAAACAATATACAAATTGAAAGTTTCTTTACTATTTTATTTTCACATTAATATTTATTAGTTTCTTATCAATTAAGCTTATTATTGTTCAGCTCTTTAAAAAATGACCTAATAAAGAATTTTACAAAAAAATACAAAAATACAAAAATTACAAGAAATAAGAAAATCATTCGATTAAAATTCATTAATTTTCAGCTGAATATCTTAAGTCGAAAAAACATCTAAACTTTAACCACTCGTAAAAAGTTAATAGGCTTTTCCGTAAACTTTTAGATAGGAAGACTAATTCGAAATCTTGTATTCAATTTTCAAATCTAAGACATAAATAGAACATTTTTTATGAATTTCTAACTCAAAGTAATTTTTAAATATTTATATTTTGACTAATGTATCTACTATCTAGTGTCTACCCTGGTTGGGCCAATACGGGCCTGCCATCATGAACCGCCATTCTCTTAATCCTACGGTAAGGTCCTAGCTAGTATTGATTCAAAAGTTAGTAATGATAGTTAATAATAAAATATGATAGAAATATTCCCCATTATAATAATTACATATTTTTCATTGTCTATTATTAAATTCAAATTTAACACACGAAATTTCATATGGTGAAATTACAAATATCATATATATTATTTTTACTGTACCTAGTTATTTTTACACACGTAATTGTTTTTCATGGTACCGATGATTTAAGTGCAAAGTTTCTATATGTTCTAACCTAAACTAGGTATGTTTATTGCATTCTACTCAGTATTTTATTATACCCAGTGGTGGTGTATTGGTGAACAAATTTTTGGGTATACGCACTTTAAGCTATATTTTATTGCAAAAAAAAAAAATTTTCTCGCTACGCTCGAAATATTACTTACATAATACATTACAAGCTACATTAAACAATTTGTACTATAATCTTCGCTTTTTCTATTTTTATATACACAGTATTTCAGTTTGTATGTTAATTGTTAATATACTTTTAACTATTATTCAGATACTCACTCAATAGATAAAATTGTATTT